TTGATGACCCTGGTTGTCCTCATAATTATTTTGTTTCTAAACCTTGGACTTTATAGAAAGAATTAATTATAGCACATATCTGTTTTTTAACTGCTAAATTGGATAATGGCTTAATAGCTCAAAGGAATTACTTGTGGGAATTTAAGACTTATAAGATTCAATTTCTCCCACGTCTGCTTCCCTACAATGATCTATGGCTTTGATTCCAGTCACAAACCTACCAAAATGAGGGTTTTTTTCTTTTTCTTTTTTTTTTTGAGAAGTGATGAATTTTCATCGTGAACCAGCTTTGCTATCATAGCCAGAAAGCTATCCTAAGAAGAGACAACAGAACTTGGTATGCAAAACTTCCTTTGACAAGCCAAATTAACAACTTTTTTGATTTAAAAAAAAAGTAAAAACCTGCAGCTAATAGGTAGATCAGTTCATATTAAATAATGTATTAAAAGAGAATGGTTCTATTTTTATTAGCTAAGCGTTTATATTCTACCAACGGTTGCCCTGACTATATATAAAAACCACTTGGGGAGTTAAATAAATACCTAACCTCAGGCCCCACCCCCAGAGAGTTTTGCTTATTTCATCTGAGGCAGGGCTGAGGTGTCAGGATTTTTAAAGCTCCCTGGGTGATTCTAATATGTAGACAAGCTTGAGAATGACTATGTCTAGCCATGAGGACTGAAACATATTTTTCTCCTCTGAATAACGGCATTGTGTAAAATTAGAGGGACCAATTCCTGGGGAATGTGGGTTATATGAATCATAATTAGGCCCTCTAAGTGTCAACCACAGTCTGGGCTGGGAACACCTGTGGAGCCAAGAATTAAAAATGAATGATACCCTTTGTACTGCAATGATAATACATTCTGCGCTCTGGGAAGCTATTAAAATATTCCCCTTAAGAATTTTTTTTCATATCTATTTTAAAGTGTCACAAGAGAAAGTAATGTAGGGTATTCAAGAAGGCTCTGTGTACTTAACCTGGCAGAGCTTTCTGCAAAACATTTTATTTTATTTATGTGTGCATCACACAGTGAAGGAGGGGAGAATGGGAGTTTGCCTGAGAAAAGAGAGAAACAGGTTTCACATTTGCATTGCATCAAGGAAGTTCAACTTGGCCTAACCACCTCTTATCGCACTTCTCAAATCTTGAGGTCTGTTTGATGCATAAATTTCATAAGAGTCTCGCCTCATTTAAATGATAATTTATGTTCTGAGAATACCATTTCTAGCCTTGTTCTTCTGCACACCGCTGGAGCTGATCAAAGTGTGGCGATCCCTTTGTTTTCAAAGGAAACTTCATGTTCACATTCTTGCTACAGAGGTTAGTAGAGTAAGACGAGAAAATAGTCCCATAGTGCTTCTGTTAGTTAATGAGGAAAATTTTTCCTCCTATATATATCATGATAGGTAATTGAATTAGTACTCCAGTAGGAAAGGGTTTGCTGTTTCATACTTCCATAGTTTTTTCTTAACACCATGAAATTAAAGACATGCCAGCATGGAGCTGCATATTCCTGATCAATTTCAAATAAGCAATGTAGTATATTATTGCTTTTATGTGCTTTTATAGCACATGCTGTGCAAGATAATTGACTCCATGACAGATGTCTATATTTCAGAGGAAAATTTATTTGTGAAAGAACAAACATGTATTATTTTAACATGGGGCTATTCATTATGTGGCCCACAAGGTGCTTTTTGACACTTGTAAATTGAAATTAATATTTTCTCTCGTTGTTCTGAATACGCATAGGCAAATTTGACTGTTTAATATAACCGATTTGAAGCTTATGCTACTATTTGAATGTAACCTTCCTTAGATCACATCTGAAGTGCTGTGGAAGGTGCACTTTTGCTTCTTTTCAGAGAAACCTGCAGGCCCGCACAGTTGCCAAGTTGTCCAGAATCAGTTCTGGTTGTCGGACCCATGTTTGCAATGAAATGACTATGAGAAAGATCTCAAAATAATGGGTACAGGAAAGATTCTCCATGAATCCTCCTTTACTCACTCACTTCTGCTTGAAACGTCACTGTTTTCCAAGACCAACACCAGTAGGGAATAGCATCTGAAGTCCCTAACCCTTTCCTGTGAGCTAGATTAGCTTGGAGAACTGGCGATATTAGGTGCACAAGCCTGCTGTAAAGGAAAAGTGAAAAAAAGGGGAGGTTTATAGAGGAATGACCATTTCCATCTATTTTGTATTACTGCCTGAGACCAATTCTGCTGCCGGTAAATAAACTCTTCCGTTTTTTTTTAGCTACAAACATTTTTCCCAGGAAAAACTGGACCCTTTAGCCCCATCAGCTAAATGGACACTTTCCTGCAATAAGACTATACCCTTTATATAAAATTAAAATAACTAATTGATACAGAGATTATCACATGCAAAAAGGATGTAAGTTTAATAAGGTTTCTTTCAGGGACAATTTTTCTTTCAATGAGAAAAGTAGGAGAAACTATTTGTTTAGGCAGGCCTCTCCTAGCATCGTGAACCTTCAAAGGTCTAGCTTTTTGAGCATTACAGGAAATAAAGGGAGGAAAAGAGATTTTACAATTAAATTGAATGTAGCCTTTCTGAAAGTAAAACCGGGACACGAAGGATTGAGTTTATAAAGACACATCTAGAGTGCAGAGGCAACCTTAGGTGGGGTGGAGCCCTGAGGACAGGGAAAAGGGAGACTTGTCACCTGGAGTGGAGGTGGTTGGCTCAACCTCGTAAGTGCATCCTAAGCTTGTGTGCTCAGTGGCTGGCCTGCACACAGACTGGAATGCCCTGAGGCTGTAACAATTGAGGCTCTGAGGCTAGGCACACTACGGTTCTCTGTGGGCACCGCTGAAGCTGTGGCTGTGCCAATCAGGGACCTTGAGCAGATAAGGGAAGGTTACCAAGAGGTTACATTTAGAAGTGTCCTCCCAGCTACTCTCCCATTTTTAAGGTAAAAATGTGGAGGTCGCCTGCTGAGGAGGAAAATTATCTTGATGCAAAAGTGTACTGAATTGAACTTTTAAAAAAGTACCACAGCCTAGGACTCCTGCCCGTCCACCTTTTCTACTCCTCTCACCAAAAATTACTTCTTTTTTAAGGGAGAGTCTCAAGTGCTTGCTTTCCTTAATAACTCAGGACAGGAGGAAGGGATAAGTGACTTAGGGGATACCTAAAGCTGAAGCGCAGCCCTTGGGTTCTGAAAACTGACCCAGCTCTGTGTCTTTTAGCACTTTTTTTTTTCTTTTTTTAAGAAACAGGGCCTCACTCTGTCTCCCAGGCTAGAGTACAGTGGCCACAATCACAGCTCACTGAAACCTCCAACTCCTGGGCTCAAATGATCCTCCTGCCTCAGCCTCCGGAGTAGCTGGGACTACAGGGGTGCACCACTGTGCCAGGTTAATTTAAGAATTTTTTTGTACAGATGGGGTCTCCCTATGTTGCCCAGGCCGGCCTCAAACTCCTGGCCACGGAGTGTTCCTCTTTCCTGGGCCTCCCAAAGTGCTAGGATTGATTATAGGCTTGAGCCAACGTGCTGGCCTTCTTCAATCTTGTCAGTTTGCAGAATGAATTTCTCATCACTGGCCAGGAGCTTAGGGTCATCAGCTTGCCTTGGAGTTTAGGTTGGAAAGTGGGGCTCATGGACGCATGCTCTAGGCCCTGACCGGTTTATTCCTGCCTTTCTGCTACTCTCTTGGAATTCCGTTGGGAGGCTGCCCAGATTTTCCAATCTATCCACTGCAAGCATCCGTGTTTTCCCTTTGGAGAAACGGATTTTTTTTCTGGGAATTCCCCTATGGCTCCAGGGCTTTTGACTCTTGGCTGCTCTCCCGCTAACCCCTTCCATTCGCACTTTGCTACCAGCTCAGTCCACTGGCTTCTGCTTCCTTATCTTCCTCAGGGTCTCTCCTCGCGGCCTCCTCCCCTGTCCCAGGACCCGAGGAGGAGGAGCTGCCTGGAAAGACTAGAGCTCTGCGCTGGGAACCCGGGTCAGCTCGGGACCGGCGCTGCAGGGAGCTGCGATGGGAGAGCTTGGGGGAAGGGAGGATAGAACTCCCGGAGAAAGAGAAGTGACTGGCGCTGGGGAGCGAGGAGGCGCGGTGAACACACTCAAGCGGCTCCTTGCACAGGGGGAGAGAGTGGCAAACACCCGACGTCAATTAAATGCATATCAATTTGTGTGTGGGGTCAGTATTGCACGTCATCAAGCCTCTTGGGAATAAAAGCTTAGAACTGGAATTCCCCAGCCCCCACTTCCCTGGTTCCCTGCTTTCTCCCGCTTTGGGGTAAGGCGGAAAAAGGGTGGTTCCAGGGTTCCCTTCCAGCAGTTCAGGGGCCAAGTGGTCGGTGTCTGCGCGCCGGGCGCTCTGCGAGACTAAGCTTTCGTGGAAAGGGATGTGTGCATGGAGGTGGGAAAGGCGGTCCCTCCCCCGTCCCACCCGCGCCCGGGTCAGGCACTGCGCAAACGGGAGCGGGTGGTCTGAACCCAGGGACCCGGCAAGGGGTGGAGTAAATTGAAATTGCACCTTTTTCATGAGTTCGACCCTGGCGCCCTGTCTGCCAGTTCCACGCACTCTGGCTGGGTCCCCAGGCCGGAGCAAGGGCTAGGGGAAAGGGGTCCTTCGTTCTGTCGGGGAAACGTTCTCCTGGCCCGGAGCTGGGCGGAGGGAACACCGGATATTTTCCTCGGCGTCTCTGCGGGCGACTGGCGTGGCCACCTCGCAGGGCTGCTTTTAGGGACACGGGACTCGGGCGGGTCAAAGAGAGACCTTCAGGCCCGGCCTTCACTCCCCTGCCCGGGGCACTTGGGTGAGAGTTCTGTTCGATCTAGCTCTTGGCTACCTCTTGCCCGCACTTGAGTCCTAACACCCCGAACGCGCGATCCCCGTAGGGAAACCCCAGGAAGCTGCGCGCGGCAGGGGGACGCCGCGGGCTCCCATTCCCGAGCTCCGCCGCCCCAGCGCCCGAAGGGGCAGGGGCGGAGCGGAGGCGGCGAGCGCGGGGCGGGCCCTGGAGCCGCCCCGGGGGAGGGACTGGGAGCTGCCCCGGAGTCCAGGGCGAGCGGCGGAGCTGGCTGGGCCCCGCGCGCGGCGGGGAGGGAGCCTCTGCCACCGCCGCGGCCGCCGCGTGCTCGGCCTGTCCCCGCCCAGGGAGCCGGAGCCTCCAACTAACTCCGCCCGTCGCCCCGCTGCCCCGCCGCCCGCAGGCTCGGGCTTCCGTCCGGGACCGAGCCCGCGGCCGCGCAGGTTGGTGCCGCTGCTGCCGCCGTCGCCGGGGGTGGGCAGGGCAAGGATGAAGGTGGGGGTGCGGAAGGGGTTCGGGGACCCGGATCCTGCTGCTTCGGCTCCCTCTGCTTCCCAGTGCCGGGGGCGGTTGTTGATTTCCTCCCGGGCCGCCCGGGTCGGGGGGTGGGGCGGGGGTCCAGCTCTGCAGCCAGGGAGGGTTTTGGGGACTGAGCCATCCTCGCTTCCCCAAAGCTCTCTCCGACTACCCCTTGCCACCATTACGTCCCTGGCCAGTTTAGGAGGTGCCACTCTCCCCTCCTGTCCTCACCTCCGCACTTCTCCTTGCACCCTCTCCCCAGGGGAGCAGTTGTTCATTCGCCTCGTCTGCCCCCAACTTGGAGAACTCTCGGTGACGGTCGGAGAGCCGCCTCGGTCCCCTGGCCCGCCTCTGAGACTAGTTTGGGGAGAAAAGGGACCGCCGCGCAGGCAGAGAGGGGCTGGAGCGGAGGAGCGACCTGGGGTGCTGGAGTGCGGGCCAGTGCCGGGAAGCGGTGGAAATTCCGTCCTCGTCTTTCCCGTCCTTGTCTGGCTCTGCGCTTCCTGCCGCTTTGCCAGCTTAGAGTGTAAAACGCAGGCGAAGGGCGATCGCCCACGCAGCATGCAGAGTATCCGCCACTCGGGATACTAGTTAAGTCTGGGTTCAGTCACCCTCCCATCTTCGTGGCCTTGTGCCTCGACCCTTCGGAACCTCTGTGTTGTCCTCTGCAAAATGTGCATTTGCTCTGCCCGCCGCTGAGGGTCGTTGTGGGAGATCCGCTGGGGTGACTTGGGATGGAACGTGATTTTGAGCACGGGCTCGTCTCGTGGAGCTGCCTGATGACGAGTCTTGTGTTCTAGTCGTCTGAGTTCGGGTCCTTTGGCTGAGACGTGATTTAGTCTCTCTACGTGATTTGGCCAGTCGCTCTGTTGTGCTAAAAGGCACGTGTTCCTGGAGCTGGTCATTAAGGTTCAGAGTTGAAATCGTCCCTTCCCCACCAAACCCTACGTCCAAAGCTATGGACCTTCCATCCTATTCCGCTGTAGTCATGGAAATTCAAACAGCAGGAAGATCTTACTGGCCCCGGTCTTTGTAAATAAGAACTTTGTTTGCTTCAGATGTTTTCTATTCTTTAGAATCTCTTTTCTATCCCAAGTACAAATTTAAATTTGTTGTTAATTTTAGTAATTCTGGAAGGAGACCTTCATTTTGGTAAATTAAGTTCAGACACTTAGCTAAAATGACATGTGATGTATCGTTTGTAAAGTTTCAGTTTATAATCACAGGTACAAGAAGCACTGTTAGTGCCATTCTACTTACTCTATGAAGAAAGCAAGGAAATGGCTTAAGAAAATCAGCTTTAGAATTGATATTAAATGGTAGGTCCTGTTGTTCATGCTTTCCTGATTCAATAGACATTTTCATGAGTTCCTATAGTGTGCAATGCACTCTGCTATATGATTAAAGATAGAAAGATATAGAATATGTTCCTTGCCCTAAAGGGCCTTCCAATCTAACTTAGAGACCACATAATTCTATTTCATATTTTATATGAATAGTTATCTAATGACTACATATTACAAGTAGAATGACGTCAAGAAAGCGTTATCAAAGGCTCTGTGAGATCATCATATGGTGAATCTACTTAATAGACTGGAACAAATACCAGGTTTGCTAAGACATTGTTTTCTCAAATAAAAAATTTCAAATGTTTCTCCTTCATAAAATAGGGGTGTACTTGGAAATAAAACGAATTCTGTATTTTTAAAATGAAAGCTTAGAAAAGCATTCTAGTATGATGTGGTAATCAAATGTTAAAAGCTGTAGAAATTTCAATTCTTTCTTCATTCAACAAGTCAATAAAATTATGGTACCCACATACAGTTTTTTCTCAACTCCTTAAGGAAGGAAATTATAATGCCTAGAGAAACACAGAGATTGAATGTAAGATTTTTAATAAACTGGAACTTGAACACTTAGAGGCCTGAACTGACCCTGGAAATTTAACGTAAAATGTGACAAGACTCTAAGTGAGAATTTTGTTTGTTTTTAAAATTGTTTCTTTTGGGTTTGGCTTGGGGCAAAGGATTAGCAAGAATTCCACCTGGAGAAGATTGACCAGGGTTCTTTACCTTCTGCCTAAGTTATATTTTGTGTGACTCAGTAACATCTGAGTCTTCCTGTTCCTAGGAAGAATTTATTAGTCTACTAGCTGTGTGGAGAATTTCTTAGGCTTTATGTACGTGGCTTAGAGAGCTTCAATTCAACTTTCACAGTAAGGCATGGCAGGCTGAGGGGCAGCCTGAGGGACGTAATGTTCACTTTACACTGGACTTATTGCTCAGTACCTTTGTTTTCCTATTTGTGAAATGACATTAAAGAATCCTTATTACTGCCCTTCAAACTGTGTGGCTTGTTATAACAGTCATAATTGAGCCAGAAAGCTTCTTGTGGATGTAACTCTTTCTACATTAACTCCTTTAGTCTGCAAGAGTTAATTGTTAAACTACTTAGAGATACCTCAAAAGATGGGGGCTGTGAATGAAGTTGCTGATGGTGTCATGGGCTCTCAGGTCTCCTGAGAGAAATTTCAATCATCTTGTGTCTCCTACAATTTACTGTACTGGTGTGGGGAATAAGAGCTTTATCTTATCAAAGGTTGAATAGCTGGTCAGTGACAGAAGTAGAACTATAATTCCAACTGCCTGATAAATAATTCTATGGTTTCTCCTTACCCTTTGTGGTTTTGTGTCATCCAGGGCACATGACCTACCAAATTCTCAGTTTGGTCATCTCCAAAATGGGAATAATGGAAATACTTACTTCAGAGAACTGCTTTAAGCATTACGTGAGCTAATCCGTGTGAAGTGCTAGGCATATTGCCAATACATAGCTAATACTCTACTTAAGTAGTTATTTTAATTTCTTTGGGGGAGGGGGAAGGAATGGCATTTCAAGGATCCAAATATAAAAAATAAATACGTAAAAATATAAAGGCCAAGCTCAGTGGCTCACACCTGTAATCCTGAAGCGGGAGGATCACTTGAGGCCAGGAATTCGAGACCAGCCTGGGCAATAGTAAACCCCATCTCTACAAAAAATAAAAAAAATTCAGCTAGGTGTGGTAGTGCATGCATGTAGTTCTCTGGAGGCTGAGGCAAGAGGATCACTTGAGCCCAGGAGTTCAAGGCTACGGCAAGATATGAGCGTATCACTTCACTCCAGCTTGGGCGACCGAGTTAGATCCCATCTATAAAAAAAAAAAAAAGAAAAAGAAAAAAAAAAATCTATAAATGCCCCCCCACCCCACCAAATATGTTGAAGTAGCCATTTCTCAGCTAACTTGTTTCATGTGTTCATTCAACAAGTGTTTAGTGAGCCCTTCCTATGTGTTTGCCTTTTTTCCTAGGCACTGTATACAATGGTATACAAAACAGTTATAGTCACTCTCTTATGATCTGAAAGTCTAGGGAGGGATACAGATTTGTAAGCAGAAAATTATATTACCATGTGATTCATGCCATGATAGGGGTAGTGCAGAGAACCACAGAAGACATGGTGGGATGGAAGGGTCCCAGGTACGTGAGTATGACACATTGCATGATCTCTTCCTGTTTGGGTTGGTGGTGGTCAGGGAAAGCTTCCTTAAGGCACATGAACATGCTAAGACCTGAAACATGAGTGGTAGCTAGCAGCTGAAGAAGTGGGAGGGTTGAAAAAGTATTCCAAACCAGCAGGAACAGAGTATGGTGCGTTAGAATGGAAATCTGGCAGATAATGTAAAAGAATACATAGATGAGAGCGTGAGGAAGAGGTGTGGCAACCTGAATCCAGGCTTTGTCTGAAGGGAACAGTATATACTCAGCTTCAGCCAAGTGTTGTCAGGTTGGGATGCAGGCCAAGTGTTGCCAGATGCCTGGACTTTTTTAAGAGGAGCTCAAAATTCATATTTTATAAATATGAAATTTCCCAAAATATGAAATGACCCAAATACTTTTTAAACTATTGTGCAGGCCAAACCAGACAAATCTGTACTTAGAATTCAACCCAGGGCCACCACTTTATGACCTACGCATTTAAGGAAATGAAAGAAAAACGTGTGGCTAAAGACATGAATCTTAGAAGGAGATGCAAGGGAAGTGCCACAGACAGATGTAGAGCCACGTCACTCAAGGCCTTTTGGAACTTACTAAGGAGGGTTTGCTTAATCCTAAGGGCACTGGGTGACATTGAAGACTGAAACAAGAGTGACATGGTTAGATTTGTGTCATAAGGTGCATTCTGCCTACTGTATGGAAAATGCCTGGGAGTAGGAGGCAATAGTGGAAGCAGGATAACTATTTGAGAAGCTTGCAGTGGTCTTAGCAAGAAATAAGTGTGGTTAGAAGGAGGGTAGTCAAGCAGGAGGGACAGAGATGAGTAGATTTAAGAGATATGTATGATACTTTCACTGTTGGGATTCAGTTCTCATTAGTCACTCAGGTTTTTGCATGTCTTATGAGCAAAGGCACCTACTGCTTTCATTCCAGACTATCTTCTTAAGGACATTTGTGTAGTAGATAGCCTTGGAAGATAGAGGTAGTCTTTCCCTCCGGAGCAAAGAGCAGGTAGGCTTACTGTCCAGTATACAAGATTCAGGTACCCGGAGCACAGGGTTCGCCTTCGGTAATGCAAATCATTGAGTGTACAGGTATCACCTGTCCTTTTCACATCATACTGAGGGAATTGAGTTTCAGGGATTGGCACAACTATGCTGATACTCCCACTACTGCTATTTCTGTGACAAATATAGTCCTTTGTTTCTGACCGTAGAATCTTGTCTTCTCCCAGCATCCATGAAACTGTGGCATGCTAATTTGTTAGCTTCCAAGTAGAGGAAATCTCAGATCCTTAACAGCTTTTGAGAGCCACTACCCACATTATCTGTTAAAATTTAGGTTCAAATTAATTAAAGTGGAATAAGATCAAACATCAATTTCTCAGT